GAATCCAATCAGAACGCATCGCGAGGTACTTGAGATAAGGCGTATCTCTCACTTCCTTATCCCTTTTCTTCCTGCTCGGTCTCTCGTACTGTCTATTTTTCTCTTGGGCACATAACATAAAATAAAGAACAGGAGAACTCAAGTTGATAAAAAATGTGTCAAGTTCAGGCAGTCTGTGTAGTTGTTGTTTTATGACATTTCTTTCTTGTCTTTCTTTCTTTCTGCTTACTAACCCCCACCCCCAATTGCAAGTGACAAAATCCAAATTCTTCATCAGAGCAGCCGAGTTCAGTGAAGCCTTTCTGAAAGCCCTTCAGGGAGGCAGCATGCTGTGGCCTTTACCTTATCATGTATGGGATTTAGAATGATTAATTGGCTTAGTCTGACGAAATTCAGAGAAACACAAAACCCCAACGGTTCAGTGAAGTCAAAACATTTTCAAAAACATAACCTGAAAGGTGAAACAAATTATTTTTCAAAAGCAATTTTGTGTTGAAAAACAACTGAAATTTATTTTAAACAGCAAAGTTTATATATATGGTAGCCTAATTAGTAAACAACAGATAATGTAGCTCTGGAATAATTCTATAAAGGGTTTGTCAAACCAAAAGTTCTTCAACAAAGGAAGGAAGCTAATGTGTTAGCTGAACAGGACAGGAGCGAATAATATAGATTTTTTTTCTGTAAATTTCTTGCAGAAAATAAAGTCAAGCACTTTCAAGGACCTGTATCTTATTTTCAAGAGCTTTCCAGGACCTTGAAAAATAAAATTCAGATTCACAAACTTTCAAGGATTTCAAGGACCCATGGGAACCCAAGTCCTAAGTGGCTGAAATGAGGAAAATAATGTGTATTTTTACATGGCATGACATTGCTTTGAATACTCAAAATGACATGGGAATGATTGTGCGGAGAAGCCTTATTGTGAAGCTGTAAGTGCATGATGGATATACTACTGATTAGTTTGGCACCCAGGAGAATAGGGCTACCATTAACATCAACACAAACTGAAAGCGTATGTAGCTTTGCTTCATTATAATGAAAAGACAACTTTCAAAATGACATACGTCTGTATCACTAATAGTACTATGTGATTAATCTAATCGTATCTACAAATCCTTATTGACAGGCTGATCTCAAATATTATGCAAGCAGTGGGATTTATTTATTTATGAACAATTTTCGGTAACATAATGCTATCATCTGGACAGTACTTAAATTATTGCTCCAAAACCAGAGACAATGATTCTTTTACAGATAATACGTGACACTAGTCAAATAAAACCAATATTGAGTTTTCTTTTTCGCACTCTCCTTAAAACATTAATCTTTTTTTTTTTAAGGGAACTACAGTACATAAATTAAAATGTTGCTTTCTCCAAGCACTAACACAAGGCAGATCAATACTTGATGATTTTTAGCTTTTTATTAGTGTCATGGATGGAAAGAGGCTTCGTTTTAGTTTGAGCAGATTGTCACGTGTGCTTATGCTGCGAGATTCGCCACTGATCTTGTATAATCGGCTAGAGAGAACCTGAACCTTATTTTGAAGACCAACCACAGACAGGTTAACCACATGACTATGTAAAAACAATGCAATTCCTCAGAGACTGGGATCACAGAATCATCTCCAGAGAGTCAGTATCGTAAACACAGAGCTTTGCTGTAGCCTTGAGATACAAATTGCTGTTTTCGCTATATATCTTCTATCTGTTCTACCCTCATGTTACTCCCTCCTTAGGAGTCACTGTATTCCTCATTTCCAAGTCATTTTGGATAATCACTTCTGCTAAATGATTAAATATAAATATTGGCAAGTTTTCAGCCCTGTATGGTGACCTTGTTCAATGGTGACCTTATACCACAAGTATATCTGCCACTGCTATACATTCTCATCCTTTGGCGTCATATAGGTGACACCATATGACATTTTGTCGAAATACTATGCACATGGCACTCTAGCGTCAATATAACACGCACTGTTATGGGTAGGTTTAGGTCTGGGGTAGGGTCTGCATGTTATATTGACGCTAAAGGGTGCCATGAGCGTAGTATTTCGACAAAATGTCATATGGCGTCACCGATATGACGCCAAAGGATGAGAACGGGCTCGTTGTGCTCAGCATGTTAGAAAAAACACACTATGTGCTCTGCAAAAGCACACTATCAGTAGCATCAGTGTACATATACTATTTAGATTATCAGATTATCAGATTCATTATCACTAAGATGGCAGTGTGTAATTTTAATTAAAACTATGCAATATTTCCTCACTTGCAGAAAAAAGGAAAATTGGCATAGTACTCTTCCAAACATCCATTTTCAGAATATAAGCTCCAACTGGAACTGTAAAGTAAACAAACAAACTGCGTCTCAAAATCATGCTTAAATCACAAAATGCAGGAAAACAGCCCTCATGCCTTGATACTTCATGGCAAGGAGATGCATGCACTGCACCAACCAGTGTGTCCTCAGCAGACCTCTGGGAAACCCTGATTTGAGTCAAAAGCTTCCAAGCCCAGGCTCATAATGCGTGACAGAGCTATTATCGGTCATTTCACAGCTGCAATGTTTGATTGTGCCACACATAAATGGATGTGTAATTACAGTGACAACATTTTTCATATACAGCATGTTGAATGGGGAGTCACTGTATTTTTCACATGTTATAGAGAAGGGGAAAAGGATATGGGTGACTGTAGTCAGCCCATCTTTGGGGACTGGTGGAGAAATTTGCAAAGAGATGTTTGCTAATGTCAGGTGGAGCACCGTGCATAATGAAACCAGCATACAAATAAGCCCACACCTAATGCTGCAGTGAAACAACAAAGCTTGTGTACTATCACACTCAATCTACAGGCTTATTCAGCCCACACCAACCCCCTTTCTTAATTCTTTGTCTTTTCATCAGTTGAGAAAAATAGATGTTCTTTAATCCCGCTGCTTAGGTAGTTTTATTAAAGGATTACACTACCATGCCTAGATACTACATTTGCTGTTACACTCAGTAATTCCTTTGTCCAGCCAGCATGCAGCTTTAAGTCTTGCGTTAACCTCTGTGTAGTCTGGCATACTGGATGATGGTAAGTAGGGCTCTGTTTGTATATTCCTTCATTCAAAATATCCTCAGTGTTTTACTTGATCATCTGGTGACAGCTTCAATTTAGTAGTGCTATAACTGCGTTTTATTGATTTCCACAGGCTTTACAAATGACCAAGAGGGCTGAATCAGCCAATCAATGAATAGGTGCAAATTTAACCTCTCTCATTCTGCCAGCAGTGAAACTTATCATGTGTGCTAAGTCTTTTTGTGTATTGCCTGACAAATCAAACAGCCATTTCACTATAATTGAAACTGCAATATACAATTGAGGGCATGCGTTTGCATGTCCCTTGTGAAATGTATACAAATAGGCTTTAAGGTATTTTTTTTTTCAGTACTCTCCTTAGATATTTCCCAAAAGTCAAAGTGATAGTGAAACCGATCATCCTTTTCCACAGTGTACATCTCATTATTTCTTAATGCATAATTTTTCCTTGTGTTTGCGCCTTTAGTGATAGTTGTGTATGAGTCCCTTAGTTATCCTCAGTCACTGTTGGGAACAGCTCAAATGATTCTGGAAAGTCAAAAAACATGCGGTAGCTGAAGGGTTTTTTTAAAATTTTTTAGAGGGCAGCTTCATTACTCGGGACAAATCAGCACACTTGTCACAAACATGCAAAACGTTGTTGATCATTGCGGAACCTATGTACCATGATAAGAACCCAGATGCATCATAAAACGTTTATATAATGTCTAATTTCCCTTTAATTGCCATTGAGGCCTAAAGCAACCTGATTGGTTGATTACATTACCCCTGTCATCGCGATAAATCCTGCTTATCACTGTGTAACTCTACTGCAAACAGATGTAACTTTGCCTTTTCACTTCAGATGTCAACCATAAACCACTGCATGCCACCCATGAAGAAAGAGAACTTGGGTGTGAATCGTTGTTTTCACAATGATTGTATTTAATGGTTGCACCTGAAATGACATGCAGTGCTGCCGATTAGCCAGGTCAGTGCATTTGGCAGATGTTCAGGCAACAGCTCTTTTGCTCAGCACGAAAAAGAGAGAGCAGAAACAGAGGTGGCCAAATAATCCACTTTGGCAACTGTCCAATATTGGCTGGCTCACTTTTTTTATTCTACCTATACTTAGGTTTCCAACACAACAAATAATGCAAGCATGTATTAGTGTAGGTATGTTAAAGGGATAGCTCACAAAAAAAAAAAAAAAAATTCTGTCATTAATTACTCTCCCTCATGTCGTTCCAAACCTGTAAGACTTTCGTTCACAAATGAAGATCTTTTTGATGAAATCTGAGACTTCCTTTCACTCCATAGACAGCTACGCAACTGACACATTGATGCTTCAAAAACTTAAAAGAGAGACCGCAAAACTAATCCATATGAATTGAGCAGTTTAGTCCAAAATTTTCTGCAAAGACTTGATCGCTTCATATGATGAACAGATTGAATTTAATTCACATATAAACATTGATCAGTGAACATAAACAGAAGCTTAACCTAACCTGCTTGAACGCGGTTCTTGCACGTCAAGCGTCATGTCTCGTCAGAACATTTTGAACTAAACCTAAACCGTTCATATGAAGGACAGAAAGATTTCAGATTTCATCAAAAGATTCTCGTTTGTGTTCGGACGATGAACGAAAGTCTTTCGGGTTTAAAACGACATTAGGGTGAGTAATGAATGAAGGAATTTTCATTTTTGGTGAACTATCCCTTTAGAAGAAACCATATTTCAATTGCCCAGTGCTGCGGTGAAAAACAAACAAGAACAAAGGAACTGAGTAAAAGAAACCACAAGCTATCAGTAAGCTAATTTCTCCTTTTTGACTAGGTTGGACGACTCTCCCTCAACCCTCCCTTGACCCCTCCCTTGACGCTGGTAGCCATGGCAGGCTGAAGGATGGAGCAGACTGGAGCAAATCTCACCTCAGGCAGTGGCATGCCGTTGATGATGAGGTCAGGCTGCTGAGGGCCCTGCCCTGTGAAGGTATGGTGGAAGCCATGGTTGGGTGCTGCATTCCTGGAGTTCTGGTTCTCCACGTTGAGGAAGGTGCTCTCGGAGCGCCTGCAGCCCAGCGGCAGAGTCTGCTGGTGGTAGTCGAAGTAGTTGAGCGAAGAGGTGAGAGACGAACAACTCACCACATTCATCTTGTCCGTCTCCTCCACGTCCCGCGGCACCAGCCGGATGTCGTTCTTGCTCAGCTTCTTCTTCTTGCTGGTCTTCTTCTGGTTGCCGTAGGAGTACTCCGCCACCCTGCGCAGGTACAAGAAACTGAACAGACTCAATAAAGCAGTGCTCAGCCTTCCTCACTGCACACACAGCCAGCACCAGGTCTTCGCCTGGATCGGGCTGAGGTGCCAGACCCATAGCCAGACCCGGCGCAAGAGAGATCGGCCACATTCGAGCGACCTCCGGCCGCCAATGGGGCCGACATCCCTCATTTGTTTGCATTTCCATGCTCTGCGATTCGACTTGTCACAAACACACATCCACAATGCAAACATGCTAAACCACAGAAGCACACACAGCGACAAATGATCAAGCATCATAGCAAGTGTAAGCAATAATATTCAAAGCAAAGCCACCATTTGTCTGCTTTTTCTCTACTCATTTTACAAACCAGCCCGCTGGCAGGTGGGTTGTGAATTTCAATTCTCTGAGCTACAGTCTGTGGCTACTGTTAACTTGATTTGAGGGTTTTGATTCTAATCAGAGTAAATGAAAAACTTTGAGATCTTACCCCCGAAGGATGCTTAAGTTGCAATCTCAACATAAACTTATGAGCTCATAAAGAGAGTTAGAGTAGTTATGTCTGAGTTATCCCCCCCTGATCCCTCTCTCTTTTTCCCATGAGGATCATTACATCTATATCCTGAAACAATTTTACACTTATTTCTATGTCCTTAGAAGGGCACACATTCACCGGAACTTACGGCTTTAGCTTAATGGTACGCTGGCTCTGCCTGCAAAACACAAAGCTCCTCTTTCTGTGCTTTTCATTTGAATTCAGCCTGTGCCTCCCTGCTCTTTACTTTTTTCTGGCTCTGAAAAATGATAACGGTGCAGGACCTTATCTTTTTAGGAGTCATCTAAAAGCATTTTTTCCTCTGTGCGAGTTAAAGCACACACTTTTTTTAAAAAAATTAGGCGGCCGAAAGCATGCTTAATAGCTTGTCATAAAAACATATATATATATATATATATATATACTATTATGTCGTCGATGGAATAGTGAATTTGTTTCTTTTGTTAAAGATATTAAATTGAAAATATGTAAAAGGAGATTTTAGAGTGGTTGCCTACTGGAGGCTCTTCATATTTAATATGATGATGCCAGTTAGTAATATGGATATTATTAGGTGGTGGTGTTGTCTGTGTTGTTTTAAAACTATTGGTTTTTGTTCGGTAAACTGCAACAGCATCTGTATTTTATTTAACTGTGTTAATAAAGTCGTCTCAATGGTTGGTCATATGTCGTTTGGCTCTCATCGCAGTGAACACAATCCAAAGAATCTCAGATGAGCCAGAAAGGAGAGTCTGTGAGCACTGCAGAATAGAACTGTATCAAGCACTCTCACTAACCCCCTGTTGGGAGAGCTGAATGCCTCCATCAGGTTTCTATCAGGAGAGGAAAATAAATGTGTACAGCAGCAATCTAAACACAGGCCATCTCTAACCATCTCGCGATCACGGCATGATACTGTAGATATAGCGTGACTAAACATCGAAATCACGATCTAGCCTTCTTCAAAATGTTCGATTGCATACATCTCTGTTAAGATGGATCATTTACTGTATTGCTGCTGCATTAGAAGACAGAAACGTCAACAACAATTTGAGGTAAAAATATGCTAATGGTTTCAGGTTAAATTTGCAAAAGCAATTTATATGGAAATGTTGAGTGGTAATGTAGCACAGGGAAATCAACACAGTGGCCAATGTTACAGATTGATAAGTATTCATACAGTAGATTAACTAAATAATATTCTCCCCTACACACTATGTGTCAAAGACTAGTCCGGGTCTATACATTTGCATGATTTACCTTTTATGAGCATAATTGTTACTAAGAAAGTGTGATTGTTGTCACAGCAACATTTGGTTACTATGTCATTGCTACTGTTTTTTATATAGTGCACCACTCACAACCATAATATGTTGTCATTCAACCCATAAATAAAATCTCTAAATGTGTTTTCTAGTGAATATTTTGATTTGAGCAAATTTGAGAGAAGACCTAGAGGTCATAAAATTACACCAATAATGTGTGCTGGTGCCAGTCTTAGTGCAGATGATGTGTGAGGAAAGGCCTGTGCTTGCGTACTTTTCCTTACTTAGAATGTATCAGTCACCAAGTAAAGGTTGTTTTAGAGCACCCTATCATTTAGGTTGTACTTTTCTATTGTTTGCTTATTTCAGAAATAACCCACTAAACTAGGTTTAATTGCTGCTTACATTAAGTATAATAAGCATTTATATCATTAAGTGATAAGTTGGAATGGTTGGAACTTGGAAACAAAAAGGTTGTTGGAAGTAAATATTTTGTTTGGTATGGCTATTGCATCTGCTTTATGTTTACTACATAATTTTAATACATGTATTTTATTTAAAGCTCATGTAGCAACTCTCCCTCATTGGCTTTATAACTGAGGAATTAAAAGAAAATGATGCAGCTTTGTAATAAGTTAATATTTATGATAGTGTAAATATACTAATCATGATACACGGATGTAATGATTACAAAAATTATATCATGTTTCGCTTATTTGTGTCATCAGTAATGGCAGCAGCAGAGCAAGGCCTGAAGCGCATGCACAGTTGACGACACAGCGCGTGCACAGCCAAGAGATGCACATCAAACATGCTCTCCGTATGTCTTAATCATTATGCTGTCTAATTCATTGATAATTGTATGCTGATTCATTTGTAGTACTACACATATATGCAGGATAGTAAACTAGACCAGAGTGCGAATTATGGGACGGTTAGGCTAGCTATAGGATCTGACACCCTAAGTGAGGCCTAATTATTTGTAGGCCTTTTCATATTTTACATATTTTCCATGTTTGTACAGTTTTTTTTTTTTTTTTTTTTTTTTGTAATTTCTGCCAGTAATTTTCAAAGCCAATAAAGTCAGTGTCGCAACCAAAATTGTTGTTTGGTGCCCCAGCAACACAGCTATAACCGTCAACTACTCAAAATATGTTTCAAATATACCATTTTTTTTTTTATTTATTTAAGTAAATAATGATAAATGGTTAATGTGATCAAACAAACAGTAGGCCTAACGGAAAGACCTCGAGCAACGTACTGTTGCTATGGTTACCACCTCAGGTGAAGAGTTTCGGTGAGCTTGTGTTTAGCTTTTGGGGTTATGCCTTTTTTTTAACTCTGTTTTGTGTCAGTTAATAATTCGCACTCTGAACTAGGTTGTTTTTAACATGTATCAGATTGTTTGGGTACCTGCAGTTGTATGTTCGGATTTCCTTGTTATCCCTTTTGCACTTGACTGCCACAAAGATCATTGTGACAAACAGGATGACTGCGATAGAGCCAAGGGCAATGATGAAAATGAGAGACAGGTTGACGGGTCCGATTTGCTCCTGTGCATTGAGATCAGGGGATAGATAAATGACAATGTATGCCGAGGCAGATAGAGAAGTTTGGCCGTGGTCGTGCGCCACCACCGTTATTTGATAGGATGGTTTCGCGTTCTCCCCAAACGTCTTTGTGGTTCGCACCTCTCCATTTATCTGGTCTATTTCAAAGTATGCCATGTCTCCTTCTGAAATTGAATACGTCAACCTTCCGTTTTCCCCCTCATCGTAATCATCAGCTTTTATTTGCGTAACCAAATAACCAACTCCAGCATTTTTCGGAATTGACACCTCCGCGGTGCCATTGACCAGGGGCGGGGTGGTCATCACTGGTGTGTTGTCATTTACATCCAGAACAACAATGCGCACGGTGGCGTTGCTGGTCAAAGGAGGATCTCCCCCATCCTTTGCAGAGACTTTAAACTCAAAAGTCCGCGTATCTTCGTGATTAAAAGCCCTAACGCCGTATATTTCACCGTTTGAGTTCACAGTAACGTAAGATTCCACAGACATGCCCCGCACCTCCGATTTGATGATTTCATATGACACAGTGCCGTTCATGCCCAGGTCAGGGTCCCTGGCGGACACCGCCAGCAGAAACGCGCCTGGGACGTTATTTTCGAGGACCATGGCTTGATAATGTGGCTTAGTGAAGTACGGGGGGTTGTCGTTTTCATCCGTAACTTTCACTGCAAAAGATTTCGAGCTTCTTAACGGGGGATATCCGCTGTCCTCGGCTAGAATGGTCAAATTGTAGATGTCTCTCTGTTCCCTATCCAGGCGGCCATCAACAAGTAAGGTGGAGAAGCTCTCGAACTCGTTTAGTCTAAAAGGCACATTGCCCTGCAGTCTGCACTGCACTTTTCCATTCGCTCCCGAATCGTTGTCTGAGACTCTCACCAGAGCTATTACATATCCTAGAGGAGCGTTTTCGCTCACCTCTACGATCTCACTGTTTTCTGACAACAATTTGATTTCTGGCGCGTTGTCGTTTATGTCGATTACATTAACAATCACTTTGCAGTGGGCAGGGATTGAATTTGGACCCAGATCTTTGGCTTGGACATCAATTTCGTGGACGTGCAATTCCTCGTGGTCCAAAACGCCATTCACGGTGATCACGCCCGTTTTAGGGTCGATTTTAAACATTTGTTTGGTCAGATTGGAGACAAAGTTTATGAATGAGTAGACCACCTCGCCATTGGTTCCTTCGTCTGGGTCCGTAGCGTTCAAGTCTATGACTAACGTACTTATGGGGGAATTCTCCAGCACATTTACAGTGTATACTGGCTCATCGAAAACTGGGTTATTATCGTTGGAGTCTATGACTTTGATGTTAAGTTGCACAGTCCCAGACTTTGGGGGGTCTCCACCATCCTCCGCTGTGAGTTCAAACGTGTAACGCGACTGCGTCTCTCTGTCTAAAGTCTTTTCCACCACAAGTTCTGCGATTTTGGACCCGTCTCCCCTCGTCTTAATCTCGAGACCGAAAATATCATTAGGGGTAATTGTGTACGTCTGAATGCCGTTGCTCCCCGAGTCCGGATCGCTTGCCCCCTCTAGGGGAAACCTGGTCCCGGGAGCGGCATTTTCCGAGATTTCGATGTCGATGTGGTTGGTGGGGAAGCGGGGCGCGTTGTCGTTTACGTCGATAATCTCAATTTTAATCACGCAGATCTCCATTAAGTTCGACATCACCTCCAACGAAATAAAACACTTCGGTGTCTGTCGGCAAACAGCATCCCGATCAATTTTTTGCTTAGTGATGAGCAGTCCGGCGGGGCTCAGATTAACCCATCGCGGCTCGGAATTGGAGATAACCCGTAAATAAGGCTGTCGGTTTGCCAAAGCCAAACCCGCAACTTTTGCGTCCGCCGTCACGTTGGCTATCTTTGTGCCTGGACGCAGCTCTTCTTCCACTGTGTATTTTAAATTGAAAACGGCATTGACTCCAGCCCAGCACAAGAGAAAGCACAAAAACATTTGTACGAAATCCATGTCCTTGGAATGCATTGTAGCCTACCTGTTGATGTATGTCTTCACACGCTCATTTGCATGATCTTTAATTAACATTTAAACCTATTCGGTACGAGGTAAAAAAAAAAATGAAAAAAAGATCCAATAAGTCAAACGAACAAAATCACAGTCTGGTAGGTATCCTTTAGAGTGAACGAAAATAATTATATCTGCGATGAAATTCATCTGACTTGTACTGATTACGCAGTTAATAACTTCCATTTACTTTATCGAAATCTTATCAGGCCACCCATCTCTTGCATTATTTTTGAAAAACATATGAAGAAACCTGGTGAATAATTCTTCATATAATGAATGTGAAAACATTGTGAATGGAAAACATGGCTTCAACATGAACATTTGTGTAGTTCAGGATAACCGAGATTTAAACCGACCATTTTGAGCCAGTGAAAGAAATATTCAACACAAATGTAGGCTAAATGTAGCCTACGATGGAAGGTCCTCAACTTGTGAATGAATGAATAGAAGGATCCAATTCAAAAATGTTTGCTCTCGGTATCATGATCGCGATGAACACTTGCCATTGAGTTAAAACATCGCTCGTGACTAATCAATCCATTTAATGATGTGAAGTTGGGATGTCTCCTCCTTGATCCGCATTCATGTCCATGCACATATCCAACGGATACCACTGTGATTCCAATTTCAGAAGAAGAAAAAAAATCGGTGCAATCTCTGAAACTGGAACAATGATGGAAAACCAATATTAATAAAATATCAGTCCAGGTCACAATTCGGTGATATTCCCATTCGAGCAAGAGGTGGGTGTCTTCTTGTCCAGTGAAGATTTCTCTCGACAAGCTTAAATTTCTTGTATGAAGGTATTTCAGTTGGCCTTAGTCCAGAAAGAATTAAACTAAATCCGAATAAAACACTGAGGAAAGATCAGTGGGGAAAAAAAGAAGAAAAAAAGCAAGCATTTGTAAGTGCAGTCGTCTCGCCGTGATAAAAGCGGCCGGTCAGAAATATCCAGCCTCTGGATGAAGCGAAATAGTTCTTGATAGTTCTTAAATGTGTCTCACTGAGGTAAACGCACGGCGCTCATCTTCAGCGCATACTGTCGAATGCACAGCTCAGAGTCTCGCGCTCAGTCTCAGCACCCGCAATCCCCACAGCCAATCAGAGGTTACACTGGAGAGCTGGATTTGCTGGTGGGTGGGGCAAAACTACAGATATGAACTCGGCCAACTAGCTCTAGTTCATGCAACACGGCATGTTACGCGTGCCAGTTATGAACATACAGTGTTTGCATTGTAGCCTACAATTCTTGATTTTCAGGAGGGCCAACTTTTTTATAGGGAATTGCAATTATATATATATATATATATATATATATATATATATATATATATATATATATATGATTCGTCCGATTTTTTTGTGTTGCTATTCCTCCCAAAAAAATAAATAAATAAAAAATAAAATAAAAATTCGCGAATTCCGTTCTTTATTGAAGTTTTGAGGGCTGTAAGTTTATCATAATTTAGATAAGGTAATTGGCTATATGTAATTAGACCTATAATGACGATATGATTTATGTCTATCCAAATTAAAAGTTGACGATTAATATTCTCAGGCGAAAGTAGGCTCCTGGACGACTCTTGATCGGCTACCTAATCAATATAGCAGGTTATTTAAAATGAGTCAATTTTCTAATATTTTATTGACCTAAAGCAGGTGTGCATCTATTTCATCCGCTGACAGAAAGGACCCATCAGTTCATCAGTATAAATATCAATAGCCTGCATGACTATTTTTAGATCAGACAGATCTGGGTAGTATCCACGTCATATTAGCCTACGCCTGACACAAGCCTGCACTTTCGGCAAATAGCCAATGTTTTTAACTCACTTGTCTATGCGAGATTCAGTAGCTAAAGGTGAGGTGCACGTGTTGCGCTTATAGCTATGTTAAGAAATACTAATGGCATAGATGCATTGCATAGAAAGCGATCACTGCACAATATCAACACTAGGGCTTGAAAGCGTTTGCGTCATTGATCATTCTCATCACCGATGACGGCCACAACATATTACTCTCTCTCTCTCTCTCTCTCTCTCTCTCTCTCTCTCTCTCTCTCTCTCTCTCTCTCTCTCTCTCTCTCTCTCTCTCTCACACACACACACACACACAGAAAGAAATAAGAGGCGCGCTCGGGCGTAACATGTAATGAAATGCTGAGGCTATATGAGAAAAATAATATTAGGCTAATTATTGTTAGCTATTATTGCATTATAAATCCGCGTATATTTGTCATTAGGCTATTTATTCCTTGTCTTTATTAAATAGGTTATACTACGCTTTTTTGTATCATCTAAATGCCTCAGTATCTCGAACACGCACAAAGACGAGCCAGGAGCGGTCTATGGTCAGGAGTCATGCACACATGACAGCATGTTGAGGGTAAATCGTGTTTAAAGTCACAAGGCTGACACCTAGCGGCCGACACCACTGTCATCTCCTATTTGAAGAAACTATTTTGTTTGTTTGTTTGTTTGTTTGTTACACTCAGACATAAATGTTGGAAAACAACAAACAAATGTACAAATTTATACTGCTGCAAAAAGTATTTAGGCCTATTTTATACAAGTATTTAAACTTATAGGATTACACATATCAATGTATTTTAAGTTATTTATATATGTATAGTTAGTCAGTCAGTCAGTTTGTTTAGTTTGTTCGTTAGTTGACTAGTTAGTTAGTTAGTTAGTTAGTTACGCATTTAATGATGCATTAAGAATTTTGCTTAAACTCCCAAGGTGGACAAGTGCAAGCCAAATGTTCATATCTAGTGATGTACCAATGGTGATAATAGTCTTAAATAATCCAACAATAAGTGATACAAGGTATTCCTTCTGCTTCTAGAAGCACTGGAATTCAATATTATATGTCCTTAAATTAAGTTTGTTGTATGTAGGTCTATGTTTGTATGTTATTTTTTTTTCTTTGTTTTTATTTTACTTTGTGAAATGAACCTAAGGTTCTGAAATATAGAATGAGTTATAGTTAGTTAGTCAGTTAGTTAGTTAGTTAGTTAGTTAGTTAGTAGTTAGTTAGTCGCTTCCAAAATATTTTACTGACCAGAATCATCACTTCTTTTGTTTGCCAGCCATGAAAGTTCTCAAGCAGTCATATTAATGAGCAAGCACAGAATGTCATCATCTTTTAATATTCCAGTTTATGTTTGTTTCCAGTTTGAAATGCTTTAGGGACAGCTGTCAACCTGTTGCTCTGACTGTTGAAACCTGCCTTGCTTCAGAAGCAAAAACAAGACACTGAAGGTGTATTTCAGCTAGTTTTATCATCTTGATGTAAAAAGATTGAATTATGAGGATGACTGTTATTTTTCCTTGAGCCTTTAGCAGTGGTAGGTTCCATCAATAAAACTATGAAGGAAATGGTGTATGTGTGCAATAGACTCCTGCCTTGACAAGTTGTTAATCTCACTTTCCTCACACAATACATGTTATGACGTGCACCTTCACTTCTTTGACATCAAGGTTAATAGAATTAGCTGGTTTGTCCATGTCAACACACACTGTTAAATGCCTTATGGTATACACATTTTTATGCTCAAATGATATTTGTTGATTATTGTTCTGCAGCATTCTTTTAGTAGCCTACTCAAAAGCCTCATTCTTTGAATTGTTTTTGATAATAGTGAAGATGTTGATTCTGCAATAAGTAATGTATACGGGTGAGGTTTTAATCTTGCTGTGTTCCATTGATTGCAATTGAAGAGAAATATGGGGTTAGAATTGTTGCATTACCGGTATGGTAAATTAATAGATTGAGATTCACAGACAAATGTAAAGAGATTCACAAAAATGTATCAAATTCACAAATAAATAGATTAAGATTTTCAAATAAATGTAGAGTCACACACAAAAAAAAAAATGTATGAACTAATAAATAAAATGAGATTTGCACAAAAAAAAAAATGTCACAAACACAAATCTGGCTGGCATTTTTTTTAAACCGTTTTCTGTGCATTTGTAAATTATTGCATGAATTTGTGGCTTGATTCTTGTGCATTTGTAAATCCCCTCACGCATTTGTGGATTTTGAAACACTACTAGCGTCAATGTGCAGACAAATCGACAAATGAGTGGACTCTACCCACTGTTTCCTCAAGCCAATCAGATAACAGCCATATTGAGCTGACCAATCGTAGCACATTCTCGTTTTGACCAATCAAGTTAGGCTTTACACTCTGGGCGGGAATTGAATCTGATTAATTTGGAACATATTTGCACCCTTGAAATGGAGCTGTAAACTATAGGCGCTGTGGTTAAACAACCTGTTTCCAAAAGATTGTTGGTGTTTAAGTCTTCTTTATATTTCCATCAGGATAAACTCAGGATTGCACACAAATCATGATCATCAAGCGGTGCGACACAGCGCGTCAAAAGCAAATAGCCCATTATCTTCCCTGATGCCATAGAAGTTTCAATAATGTAAAACTAACTAATATTTGCAATGTTTATAAATTTTGCCCATGACATCTGTTTTCTTACCTGCTGCAGATATATGACATGTCTATAATCTTCCTAATTGACTAGTGCTGCTACATTCATATTTCGTGACAATGTCTACACTGGCACAGTGTATATATAACCACCTCTCAAAAATCAAAATAAACAGTTTTCTAACCAATCACCGACAGGGGCGGGTGTTGTTTGTTTTTGCGCTCGTTCACGGCGCCTGCACGCGAAGTCAGAGCTGAAGAATAAGCCATCGTCTATCAACCCAATGGACCACATACAGTACATTTAACATGGAAGAGGCAATCCCCAAGAAGAGAAGGAGGATTAGGGTGAGGGAATACCGTCGTTTTTCGTCAAAGAAATTAATAATAATCGGGAAGGCTTTTGAACGGTGGAGAGAACTCAAAGAATTGAACATTTTTAAGTCAAACGCCAAGGTTGCACTGTTTCTGGACAGGCGAGTTGATTCTAGTGCTGATTTTTTTTGTAGCCTATGTGAACTGTTTGTGAAAATATCATTAAAAAAGTGAACCTTGACTAAAATTGGAAAGCTCAATATCAGATTGTAGGGATTTAGTGTGTTTTCATGATGCACGAAACGGGGGGGAGGGGCAAGCTAACTTGTTTTTTTGATCACACAAGCATGAATATTTTGCTTTAATACATACGTACAATTTGGATTAAAACAATTTTTATGGACAAAAGTCGATAAATTGCATGTGATACAACTGGATAATGTAACATGTTTGCTGCTGTGAAACAAGGAGCGTGAACTAGGAGGATGAGCATTTCCCTATGGCAGTTGCTGCGCATGCACGGGAAACTTATGAATATCAATGTACGCTCCGCCCACTGCCTCTACAGATAGGATGAGCAATTCCTCGCGCATGCCCCGGAAACTCAAGATGTGGGCTCCGCCGACTGCCTACAGATGCACAACTCACTTTTGCACCACATTTCACGGTGCACTTGGTGCAAAAGGGAGAGCGTGCGAAACTTGTCTCTTGCAAGTGAAAAACAGTGTTTGAGATTTGTCGCAGCAGATTCAAGCAGCTGTAGTTATGTACTTGTGTTTGTGCTAGAAAAATATACAAGACGTGAGAAAATATTCTACAAGTCTGTAACTCTCATTGGATGAATTCCCATAGGCTACTGATTTGCAGATGAGCAAAATTTCTCTCTGTGACTTCAAATTTCCTAATTCACATGTGTGGCTATTCTTTACAGCTAATTTCACTGTCAATTGCGTTCAGTAGTTTTGCACCAAAAATATCTCCATAGTCCAATTATTTGTGGATTTGTCTGCACGTCAATGCTAGAAGCCACAATTGCGTGAGGGGATTTACAAATGCACAGAAAGCATTTCACAAATAAATGCCAGGCAGAGTTGTGTTTGTGACAAAATACATTTGTATTTTTTTTTGTGCAAATCTCATTGTATTTCTTTGTGAGTTTTATACATTTTTGTGAATCTCTTTACATTTGTCTGTGTATCTTAATCTATTTATTTGGAATAATGCAACAGTTCTAACCCCATAGAGAAATGAACATCAAAGACAGGTGATTGTAGCCCAGTGGGGAGAGAC